ACACGGCCTGGAGCCCCGCAGCCTTACCCGGGACACGGCCTGGAGCCCCGCAGCCTTACCCGGGACACGGCCTGGAGCCCCGCAGCCTTACCCGGAACACGGCCTGGAGCCCCGCAGCCTTACCCGGAACACGGCCTAGAGCCCCACAGTCTTACCCGGAACACGGCCAGGATGATGCGCGTGACCTTCTCCTTCACAGATTCCTGTAGGATGTCCGCCAGCACGGGGACCACATTGTAACGCCTGAGATGCTCGCACATCTGGGGGCTGAAGGCCAGCAGCCACAGGCAGAAGATCATCTGGTACTGCAGCTGGAAGCCACACTTACTGCTCAGCACTGCTGTGATGCTGCAATGGCATGGGACAACAGCGCCCTCAGGTGGCTTGGAGATATACATGCACCACTTTGCAAGCTGACACGGCCTCACAGGCCTCGAACCACCCAATTATTACAATGACCATGAAGTGTGAAGTGCTTCATTACAGCATGCAGCCCTACAGTAAAATCCCGTTATAATGGACTCACTTATAACGGAATATCGTCTATAACGTCTATAACTAACCCATATATACTTCCAACTCAGGTAAAGTTGGATTAGTACATGTACAATATAATAATCTATACCACAAGTGTGTCTGCTGGGGTGTGGCATGAGTAAATGTTGTCCTGTAGTTGTGTTCTGGGCATACAGCAACTCTGGATATAACGGACTTTGGATATAACGGACTGTTTTGCCAGGTCCCTTAAAGTCCGTTATAACGGGATTGCACTGTATTGAAAATAAGCTATTTCTTTAATTACAGAAAAGAGTGCATATATGTTGAGAAAAGTGTTACTACCCTTAAACAACTGAGAAATCTTCCTAGTGACCCACCTAAGAAAAACAGCTTAGAAGAAAGTGGAGCCCTCTAGTGGCCGGAAGACTTACGAGTTAACGCCATCTGCTTCCACCCAGGCGAACCTGTACTCGTTGATCCTCAGCATCAGCTGCAGGCAGCCAGCGACGCACTGGGCGTACTGGCAGCTCTGGGAATTGGGTCAGAGACAAGTCAGTGAGGTGAGGGTCACAGAGCCAAGGGGAGTGCGACTACGTGGGTCGACCATGAATGGTCAACACCCCAGCGACATCCCAAATGGCAAAGGGGCGGGAGATCCCACGAGAGGACGAAAGGCTTAAAGGGTTGCATTTCTGTTAGGAAGGGCATACAGGGGCAGAAGAAAGAGGCATGAAAAGCAGAAAGTTCTAGAAGGGAGAGAAAGAAGCGGATGAGAGGGACAAAAAACAGTATTAAGGCGTCCGACCAGCCACCGTGAGAGCTTATCAGCCAGGATGAATCAGCCTCCAGATCAAGTTTACGCCACTGGAAACACGTTCAGCAGAACACTGTGGGAAAGGATGCCTGCAGAAAAGCTGGTCCTGAATCTCCTCGTGCAGGAGAGCATTCTGGGATATGTAGTGTTCACAGGACACAGAGGTGTACTCTACCGCACGCAGTCTTGCCGATTTCATCCTCAGCAAATGGCTCCTGTGGACAGACATGGGTCGGACGCCGGCGGAAATTCTGGGGCGGGGGACCGACAGCCCCAAGGGGGGGGCGGGAGCGCCGGAGAGAGGCAGTGGAGCGAGAGAGAAGGGACGGCGCGGGTCAGCTAGACTGAAGCTGCCGGTACATTCCTCCGTGGAGAAAAAAATAAAAAAAGCCCCAGCGGGCCTTGGGATAGATGAGGAAAAACCCATACTTACATCCCTGGGGGGCACCGTTCCCGTTTCCGGACCTGCGGGCCGCAGTTTCTACCAACAGATAAGAGGGTTTCCTTTTAGCCCGCCAGCACCGCCCACCTAGATCACCCACCCATGGCCGCATTCAGGACGTGCTGAAGCTCATGTGGAGCATTTCTCAATGACCCTCCTTAACGGGGACCAGGGAAACATTTTCACATTCCCCCATGATGACAATTTGGGCTTTTCCGTTTTTTTTCGACCCCTGATGGAAAGCTCACTGGTAAAATATGCCAAACAATTCAACAAGTCGGGATAAATACCTAAAGAACTGACACCTAGAAAGAGATCCAGAGAAGCCCCAAGGTTCTCTGATCTGGACATAGGAAATTTGGCTTAGGAGGATTAAATGCTTGTGATCCCATGAGAGGAGGAGGAGGAGGAAGTCATGGATGGGTGTATCCAGGCACTCCCACGCACACCGAGCACGACCACAGGGGGGCGCCGCAGACAATGCTGAAAGCAGTCCAAACCACAGCGCTGCCTCCACCGCAGCAGTGAACCAAGGGGGGGGGGAAAAATGAAAAAGAGGCCAGCAAAGCCAACCCAACGGAAGTCGGGGGGCGAGATGGCGAAACAAACCGAGGGCTCTCTCGTCTTCCCTCCAAAACTCAACTCTGACAACGAAAGCATACACCACTGGCCCTGTGGACAGAGAGGGACACCCTGGATAACCAGACGCAGCCGTGCCCACGCAGCCCTTCTGTCCGTCGCTACTTTGTGGATATTTAGATTAGCAGTAAATGCTGGGTTCATGCTACCACACATCTGGGATATACAAAGACTAAAGAGCAAATGAAACATAAAAGAAAAACAATGTACTTTCTCCTCTTTAAAGCTGCTCCTTTTTATTACTTTATTTAACATAAATGTAATTCTCATGCATTGGGAATTAGAACCATAAAATTTAAATACCAAAAAAATGATAAAGGGAATTTAATTATGCGCGGCATCTGCAAAATAGATTATCTGCCAGAGAACCAACTCTTTCCCGGTTGATTCCTCAAATAAAGAGCAAGTGATTGTTAATCTGAGATACAACTACACCAGAATGGAACCACCACAGATGAAAGGTTCACTTTCTGATCGTCAAAACTGGAAAAAGCAAATAGATGTTAAGTAAATGACATAACAATTCAAGGATCATGCCAAAAACAAGAGAAGCGTAAACATCACATGAGTTACAGACATCCAGCTGAACCTGAGAACAAACGTACCTGGGAGCAAAGCTGTGTTTTGATCCAGTTGAAATAGTAGTTCAGGTCACTGCCTTCCATCAGCTCACGACCCCAGGCGGCCAGCTTGGCGATGATCCTTGCCGCCTGGAAGAGGACAATGCTTAGAAGTCAAAGGTCAAGCTATTCTTGCCTCAGCCCATTCACTAGGTAGCCTCTGTACATAGCCAATATAAAGCTGCAGGTCAGGACCGTGAAGGAGGAGGCTTTAAAAGGCTCCACAGAAGACTGAGAGACTAACATGGCATCAATGGTACTGATGGCCAAATGAAGCTTCATGAACCACTTGCTGTATTTTCTGACCCCATTAGATGGTGCTCTCTTGTCATAAAAAAGGGCCCAAAGCATGCCTCAAAGTCAGCCAAGAGCACCATCTAGTGGAGTCAAAAGATACAGCAAATGGTTCATAAGGCTTCATTTGGCCGTCACTAATCGATGGGCCCTGATGTGCAACTGACAGCATTTCCTGCAGCAATACATGGAGGAGGCCCCCCGAGAGGCAGGTTGCATGTGGAACGGGAGACTCCTCACCCGTACGTAACAATTATGGGAACTACATCATTGGCCCCTCCAATCATAGTCACTGATACCAGCCTCTCTTACAGATACAGTTGTAAAACCCACAAAACCAATCAGCAGCCCCTATTTATACCGGAAAACAACCATTACACCTTGAGAGTGACATTTGCAACATATGATCATTTGATGGCACAACAGACCATCTTCAAAATTCAACTAAGATTTAGTTCACTGGAAAAGAATGTCTGATACATTTTTGCATCCCTTTCCTGGGTGGATTTTGAAGATCATTTGTTTCCCACATTCCTCCCCACTGCAACTACACTATATTGCCAAAAGTATTGGGACACCTGCCTTTACACACACATGAACTTTAATGACATCCTGTTCTTAATACATAGGTTTTAATATGGTGTTGGCCCACCCTTTGCAGCTATAACAGCTTCAGCTCTCCTGGGAAGGCTGTCCACAAGGTTTAGGAGAGTGTTTATGGGGATTTTTGACCATTCTTCCAGGAGTGCAATTGCGGGGTCATGTTGGAACAGGAAGCGGCCATCCCCAAACTGTTCCCACAAAGTTGGGAGTATGAAATTGTCCAAAATGGCTTCGAAAGCTGCAACATTAAGTGTTCCTTTCACTGGAACTAAGGAGCCAAGCCCAACCCCTGAAAAACAACCCCACACCATAATCCCCCCTCCACCAAACTTTACACTTGGCACACTGCAGTCAGGAAAGTACCGTTCTCCTGGCAAATGCCAAACCCAGACTCGCCCATCAGATTGCCAGACAGAGAAGCCTGATTCGTCACTCCAGAGAACACGTCTCCACTGCTCTAGAGTCCGGTGGTGGCGTGCTTTACGTTACTGCATCCAATGCTTTGCATTGTGCTTGGTGATATAAGGCTTGGATGGAGCTGCTCGGCCATGGAAACCCACTCCATGAAGTTCTCTACGCAATGTTCTTCAGCTTATCTTGAGCTAAGGCCACACAAAGTTTGCAGGGCTGTGACTACTGACTCTGCAGACAGCTGGCAACTTCTCTACACTGGGCGCCTCAGCATGCGTTGTCCTCACTCAGTGATTTTACGTGTCCTACCACTTCCTGGCTGAGTTGCTGTTGTGCCTATTGCTTCCACTTTGTTATAATACCACTAACAGGTGACCATGGAAAATTTAGCAGCGAGGAAATTTCATGAATGGACTTATTGCACAGGTGGCATCCTAACACGATACCACGCTCCTGAGAGTGACCCATTCTTTCGCAGATGTTTGTAGAAGCAGTCTGCATGCCAAGGTGCTTGATTTTATACACCTGCGGCTATGGAAGTGATTGGAATCCCTGAATTCAATGATTGGAGGGGTGTCCCAATACTTTTGGCAATACAATGTATATAAACGGAACACTGATACAGAGGGGACACCAGCAGTTGCCAGGGTGACGCTGTTACCATGTGGACGGTGAAGGGATCCTGCCGGTTTAGCATGGGCAGGAAGTAGGACCAGGCTGTGTTCTTGGTCTTCTTGGCGTAATCAAAGAAGACGTTCACCCTCTGGTGGTTCTCCTGGGGGGGGGCAGAAGTAGAAGGTGATGGCACGTTAAATGGCCGGGGGGGGTACTGTGAGCTCAAATCCCGTATCTGGCAGAGTAATCATATCACCATCGGGCCCTTCAGCAAGGCCCTTAAGCCCCACTGCTCCAGGGATCCAGGCTGACCTTCCATCACGTGAAAACCAGAGCAACAGGTAATACAGCTTCCAGTGTAAGCAGCCTGACTCAGCTGAGAGCACCTCTACCCTCACCTGCAGCGTGTCGTCGATCAGCGTGAGGATATACTGCACCGTCTGCTCCTTGGAGATGTGAGCCATGAGGTTCAGGAAGGTCTTAGCGCACTAGGTCACAGACAGAGGTGGCCCGACTGGGTTAGTATATGGAAACATGAGCTCCTAGATCCTTAAAAGCAAAGCTTCTGAAAAATCCTGAAATACCTGATGACCCTCATTGGTCAGTATCTCCTGCTTATCCTCAGACTGTTCAAACCTCTTGATGAACTCACAATCTTCAGAAGAAATCATCTGCCCCCTGAAATACAAACAAAAGATCTAAGGAAAACTCAACACACACACACACTTCTGGATGCAGCAGGGGTGGAGGTCATGGTAAAGCACATACATGCTAACCTACCTGAAGAGGTACCCAAACAAATACCCCATAACAAACAATGAGGGTCTGACTACAGGAAGGAATCTGCTGCAGCCTGATATTACGGTAATTCAGGGCTGCACGTTGGCGCACTCTGCTGGCCTGGAGGTGATAACGCAAAATACTTAAGCTTTCCAGCAGTACCCCAACACCCACCAATGGTCAGAAAGAGAAGACAGACTTTATTTTTTTCCGCTCATTGTTTCCTAAAGCAAAGTGGTGAAGTATAAAGCTTACTAAGTTCCTAACACACAGGCCAATGGATGATGAGACATTTTCCCATCAGAGTTATATTTAAAAAGGAAACGGCTTTAGAGAACAGAACAGAGAGAATCACCCGACTAATGAATTAGTCACCAGCTGCTATTAAATATTTAATATTAAACACTGAATTCCACACAATCTGCATTAAATTCTTACACTGGTGCCACTAAACACCGGAGTCATCCACTGATGGAAGAAGGTTAACAAGAGCAAGGGTCCACATCACAGAGGACCTCTCCTACTCCACGAACACCTCTGTTCTTGTTAGTAAGGCACGAAAGGGGCTGTATTACAGTGTGGTCTGGGAACTACACAGCTGTGGATAGCAAGGTACGTCAGCGGTAGGTGAAGGCTGCCCAGCGTGTCACTGGTAACCTACCGCCCCGCACTGCGGACATTTACTGGAAATAATGTTTGTGGAGGGTGCAGGGTATCATGAAGGACATTTCACACCCTGACCATGGACTGCTTGAGATACTGCCCTAGGTACAAGTCTGCACTGCAGAACCAGCACCCTGATAAACAGATCCTATTCTGTAGCTGTTTCTCTCTGGAACACACAAAACCTGCTGTGCTAATTGCATATTTTTTCCCAGGGTCTACTGTAAACTAATTACATCTTTACATAAGTCTTCTTATACATATTACATTTTATATTTGAACAGGCTTGTAATTTTTGTTTGTTATTGTCCTTATGTCTCGTATTTTTTCTATGCTAATTCACATTCTGGTAAAGATGCTAAATGCATTTTGCTGTCAACTACTGGTAGTTGCCAGTGACAATAAAGCTGGATTTGAATCTGATTCCACTGCAAAATCATCAGAAAACAATGTGAGAGGAGTAAAAATCATGGTAGGAGCACTAAAAGCTATAAAAGGAAGGGTCCTTTCACCTCGGCCTGTGACAACCTGTGATTCACTTCAGTACCAGCCCACTTTATCAGAATCCACCATAAACAATGCATGTTTACATTCCTGCAGGCGTCGGTCACCTGTATTCCCGATCGCCTGAACACACAGGTATCTCCTCCATAGACATTTCCACTACAATAGTTTATCTAACAGGGTAAAGTCTATTCTCCGTAATGATAAAAAGCTCCAAACACTAGCCATTAAACACAGATCGTGAAACGCAAAAGTTTCTAAAAGCTAAAAATGTGAGGCCAATTCCTACTATAGAAGACAATGTGAATACGTGAAACTACCCGGGTTTAATGGAATTCTGCTTTAAAGCAATGCCACGCCATATCTGGAATGAACAAGGAAAATCATGTTATATGACTACAGTTTTTGGGTCTATACACCCCCCCCCCAAAAAAAAAAACATTCTGGCAGTATATGTAATACATGTAAATGTACTCATCTGTACAATTAGCCAACACTTAATAGGTTGTCCTGAAGATCTCGGTTAATTTCCTTTTTGTGCTCCTCGCCGGGGTACTCACTGGAGGTAGGACTGCCAGTTGACTTTGTTGGCCCGAACCTCCGCAGCCTTGGCGGCGATCACGTTGGTGGGCACAGTCGCGTCCACAGCTCCCCGGATGTCCATCTTCCACCTTGCGCCGTATCAGTGCCGATCGGAATTTATATCACAGTATCTATGGTGAGGTAAAACAAATCTGCAGTGAGGATCATACCGTTAAAGAGATGTGCAGCAAATTAAATCCGATATTCTGCGGAATAGAATAACCCCGATTCAGTTACAACTCAAATCACCCATTACGTTTGATTAAATCCATTAAGTCAATCACATTGCGTTAATAAATTTTGTTTAATTAACTAAGCTAAGCTATATATACATTGCATTCTATATTGTGAGCTGAAGGCCAAAGATGACGCTGAATTAGCTCGTGAAGTAATGCAGTAAATTGAATTGTTAGGAAATGTTTATTCTAAAAAACTGCATTTTCCGCACTGATAAAATGCTGTCGGGAAAAAAGATATATATATATATATATATATCATCGGTGTACTGTTTCCCCTTCTGTCAAACGTCTTCATATATGCTGTCTGTCACCCACTGCGCGACAATGACATTTAATTCATTAACTGCGTTTCTTCGCACCAGAATTTTCGCCACGTCAACATTAATATGAAAATATTACATTCCGATTAAATAAAATTCACCATATAAGAAGCTATTATAATATTACACGATGTTTATAAGTAGACATACCAGTTCCCCTTACCTGACTATTTGCTATCAGCTGACTAGACGTCACGTCTGCGATCATGTGACCGAGTTACCCGGAAGCGCCTGGAGTGCGGTGTTGAGGAATCACGTGATAGTCGGGCTAGTCTTTCTAGTATTTCTGTGGCGATGACACGCTTAGTATTGGTGATTTTAGAGAGGGTTGTTGGTACAGTAAGTTGCTTTTTTATAGATGTCAGGGCAGTTTCCTGTAAGTAAGTCCAGTGAAATCTGCAGGGTTTCCAGCTCTCGCATCTGGCGTGATATACGCTTTCTGACTCATGGCCACGCAAATATTACGGCAAATCGATATTATTCCATTATACACATAAAAGTAGCTACACCAAAAGCATTTTGTAAGTTTGTAAACGATACGCACTATTTACAAGGTAAATACATGTTAAATACATATGGGCAGCGTGTAGCTCAGAGAACATAGCCAATGTGCCTGGTGTTCTTTTCAAATACATACTGGATCATGTAATAAAGACCAAACAAAAAGTGAAAATCACATAAAAGAAACATAATCAAGAACAATGTAGACATATTATAACGGACACCAATGCAATAAAGCGTGCGATTTTCCGTATGATCTGGGAGTAGGACAACAGTGACACATGCTGGCAAACAGAAGAACTGGCTGTCCAAAAATATCTGATCAGCCTGACAGGCAAGTAAGTAAACAGACAGACCAAGATGACATTCATCTGTTCATCAATCTTCCAACCAGCTATCCTGGTCAGGGTCACCAGTGTTGTCTGGAGCCATTCATAGGCAGCAGAGGGCACAAGGCTGGGATACGACCTAGATGGGGCACCGGTCCACTGTGAGGCACATACAATCATACACTATGGGCAAAACATAATCAGCCATTCATGCCCCACCTATCTTCTCACAGACGGGCTCTTAACGCCCTGTGTATAATCTCTGCTAATCCACTGAGCTGTATCAGCTCTCAGACCCCCCAGGAAGAGAGCATAATCCCCTCTTACTCTGCTCCTCTAAATAGTTCACCTGGTTTAGCGGTTAGGAGTACAGCTCTTGCAGCCACGATGTCTAACAGCTGAGTTGTATTAGCAGTGTGTGCAGTCGGCCTGTGGGGGATATTTCACTGCTGTTTAACAGAGTATAATTGAACAGGTGTGGCACAGGTGAGCGGATGTAGCAGGTGAAGGGCAGGCAGCCCCTCCAAAGCACTCCATGGAGCAGATGGGGGGTGGCAGCACTAGGCAGCACCCCCACGAACCTCCTCGACCCCTCCTTTGATGTGGCGTTGGCCACCTGTCCAGTTTGGAGCCTGCTGCCATGGCAACCATTGCCGGACATCAGGGGGCTCTGGCGAAGACCTCGGCGAGAATGTGGAGGAGCTGGTGTCATGCCAGGTGAGGCCCGGGGTCACTGGACCCCCCAATAGCTTCTAGCATCATCCACTCCACTAATTAAGTAAATGTGACATCTGGAAGGTACCATGGTGACTGTGTTTTGATTTACTAAAAAATGTAACATTTTTTCTTTGAGGCCTGGATAGAGCAGTGATGACACTTGGAATGTTTACTGTCTGTGGGTATTTATGGAGTTGCAGGTATTTGTGGAGTTGTGGGTATTTGTGCAGTTGCAGGTATTTATGGAGTTGCGGGTATTTGTTGGGTTGTGGGTATTTTTAGACTTGCGGGTATTTGCAGTGTTGCGGGTATTTATGGAGCTGCTTCTGACACTACACTGATAACTCAGTAATCGTATCTCTGTGGTGGGACGTCAGCTTTCTCCATAGTCTGGCGTGAAAGGGAGCAGGGTGCTGAGCAGTTAAAGAGAGTGGGGGCTCCTGGAGACCTGACAGGAAGTCAGCCCTGCTCAGGACACACACACACACACAGAGCTTTAGATGGAAACGCACACATCAGGTCCCCCACTGAGTCGTGTTTGGGAGGTTGTGGGATTAGGGGGATGCTATTTTTAAGTCTTGTAAGAAGGAAGTCTTGGATTGATTTGAAACACCGGTTGTAGAGTGTTGTCTGCACATGGTTGTTTATAGCGGGGAAATATTGGACAAATGTAGCATTCATTTGGGTTGCATTGATTACAGCTGATGTGTACCGTATTTATAAATGAGACAAGCACCCAGACACTGGCAGTAAGGTCTTCTTTCAGAAGTTCAGGCTACTTATGGACCCACTGTTACATAAGATTGTCGTGAGTCCAAAATAGCATTTCTACTAAAATAGCCACACAAGGAGATAATTAAACATATTACGGTTGTGCATTTGTTTAAACACAGGCTGTGCCGGAATGGAATGGCTCTTGACAAGTAACAGTGCAGGTTCATAGCCCCGGAGCCGCAAGTTTGAATCTGACCCCACCTCATATTTTCATGCTATTCACGTTTGTGTTGGTTCCCTCCCACGTGTTGTTCACGCGTGACAGTGATATGAGAAGTGAAGCTTCAGACCCTGAAGTTAGCTGGCAACCCCTACAAGCAGAACCAGTGAGGAAATCAGTGAGCCAGGGATCATCCTTCATGTGGCTTATATTATGAAATGTGAAATATGGAAAAAGTTATGTAGGTGCAAGCCAAGAGAACCAGTGATACAAAATAGCAGTTGTAATAATTATAGTTTTTTGTCTTGTTAAAGTGTGTTGAGCCACATGAAGAACAAGAATTCAAATTTGTTATTCAAAGAATATCATGGGATTCAGATTAGGTCTTTTGTTACTTTCTGATTCTTTAACTAATTTATGGACATTATATAAGAACCAAATTATTGGTGCTTTAGGCAGAGGGAAAAGCTCTTTTTATTAAATTTTTTTAAATGTCTCTATGGGCAGTGGTGGCTTGATGGTTAGCGTAGCGCACTTGTAATTGAAAGATTGCAGGTTCGAATCCCCCACCAGCAAGTCACCACTGAGGTACCCTGAGCAAGGTACCGTCCCCAAGCACTGCTCCCCGGGCGCTGAATTAGCTGCCCCCCTGCTATGTCACGAAAGTCACATATGGGTCAAATGCAGAGGTCACATTTCGTTGTTGCGCACTGTGCTGTGGTGTGTAGACAATGACCACTGATCACTTAATTCAAATTCAAATGAAAGAAAAATGAAAGAAATCATATCTAAAAAACTACATATAAGTCAAAGTCTTTAGTGCCACCTAGTGCACTCCTCCTGCAATTGCACGTGGAGTTTTTGGCGATGTTTTAACCATACAGTAGTTGGTTACCTTGTTGTTGTTGCCATAGTCATAACATAAAAAAGAACACAATTATACATTACTCTAAGTACCACGCTATAGCTTGTGCAATAGATTATAAGCTTAATACAAAACTGTACATTTTCCATTTGATTAGAAGATGAAAGTGTTTTTTATGGGAACAAAAGATGTGGATAATAATCTTCTTCCTCTATCCACCCACATCCTAAACGTTTATTCTCATCAGGATCTCGGGCTATTAACTTTAGCTGTTAAATATAGAAACATTTTTTAAACAAACAAACATATCTATTAAATTGCATGTTAAACATATAATAAACAAAAAGGCAAAACTTAATAATAATATATTTGGCAATAACACTGTTTGAATGCCCGGTTTCACATTCAGAATCTTGCTACTCACCTTCAAAGCTTTGCACAGCGTCGCACCTCCTTACCCTCAGTGATCTCCTGACCTCTTTCTCTCTCCCTCCCTCTTTCCATTCCTCGCACCAGGCTACTCGTGCTGACTGGCAGGTCATTGAATGCTATCAGCCCCAAACTCTGGAATTCTCGGTGACTCCCCTTCAATCTTTACTTTTAAACTTGTTTTGTTTAATGAACATTGCTCTTTTTCCTCAACTGCTTTGTGTCATGCTCCGATCGTGCCGATCCTCTTGTGTGCCACGCCCCCTTATCTAACCCGTGTGGAATCCCCATGTTACCAGCTGTTTCTATTCTTGTTGATTGCTGTTGTGTATTTAAGTCAGCATTAGAGTATGTTTCCCCAGTCCGGTCATTGACGTCGCTGTGTGTTCCTCATCGTGTCGTCCCCTAATAAATCCATCGTTTACCCGACTCCACGACTCCCTTCGCCTGTTTCCCTGCTCTGAATATACGACAGAATGACCGGATTCCGAGAGAAGATGCTTTGCCTCACCAACGAAGACTATATGAGTCTGGTGGACGACGTGAGGGAAGACCCAGCTGCGTGAGCCCTACTGTACCTTTCTGAGTCTGGTGGACGAGGTGAGGGAAGACCCAGCTGCGTGAGNCTGTACCTTTCTGAGTCTGGTGGACGAGGTGAGGGAAGACCCAGCTGCGTGAGCCCTACTGTACCTTTCTGAGTCTGGTGGACGAGGTGAGGGAAAACCCAGCTGCGTGAGCCCTACTGTACCTTTCTGAGGATCCGCTCCCTGGAGATGGTGACACTGGCTTTGTCTGCGCCTGCACAGCAGCCGCTTCCCCCGAGAGTGTGACCAAGGTTTGTCTCCCAGCTGCTTCGCCTGCACCCAAGATCCTGGTTGGGAAGTTCTTGGTCCTTAAAGGTCTGTACTGGCGAGTAATGGAGGATCCGGCAGTGCAAGACTCTCCTGAGGCTGCCCCGCTCCTTAAACAGCTTTGGGGGGATTTTTCAGATTGTACTCCAGCTTCCAGGCCTCAGGAGCTGGAGAAAGCGGAGGAAACACTTAAGAAGCTGCTCCACTTGAGGAAGAAGGAGCAAGCTTCGTCTGCAGGAGACCTTGCTTCGCCTGAGACGCATCAAAGACGCAAGCAATAGCTTTTGGTCTGTCTTTTGACTCTTTAACAGTGTCTTAGGTAATGAAATATCCCATATAATTATTTTGTATTTCAATTTGTAGGCCTAAAATGCTATAAAAGCGACTTTTTGAAGCCAGAATTCAACTGTGAATTTGCAGAGGAAAGAAGTCAGCTACAGTATAAGATTGTCAACCCAGTCTTGGTTTATACCCAAAAAGTTCTGTTTTAATTATATAAATATATGTAAAAATGATGACTTCATCAAGAAGAGCCTGCATCAACAATCCTGATGTATTCTGCTACATCTGTGGAGAGTACATATTGTGAAGAACTACTTGGGTAATCACCGAGCAGACAATTATGAAGAATTGGTGCAAGATATGCTTGCTAACTTCAGAAATTTGGGAGTTAATATGAGCATAAAGATCTCCATAGCCATTTAAACAGATTTCCAGATAACCTTGGAGACTTCAGCGAGGAACAAGGTGAGAGGTTCCACCAGGATATGAAGGTGATGGAGGAGAGATATCAAGGCAGATGGGACATACACATGATGGCAGACTATTGTTGGAGTCTCCAACGTGATTGTCCTGATGACACACATGAAAGGAAATCACATAAACAGCATTTTTTTTTTGTTTTTTTTTAAGCATTGTATTAATTAATCAAATCATACATAACTTTTTCTTCTCACTGTTAGATATTCTTAATTTCTTTTTTGTATGATGTAAGACTGTTTACTTACTAGTTAAATAAGAATAAAAAATATTCTTTCAATTCTGAATACTTTTCAAACGTGTTGCGCGTTAATTAATTAATTAACTATTAAATATTTCAGAAACTACAGCCAATCTGGCAAAACCGAAGTCATATTCTTAATCAGCACAATAAACTTAATATAAAACCGTTCAGACATCGTTGGCACCAAAATCACTGTATTACGAGTAAAACGCTTCTGGTGCCTCCACTTTAGTTTGATGGACTATATCTAACTGGTGCCGTTTATTGGACTTACTGGACGACTATGGAAATAAAACCATTCGGAATATTTAATAACATTTTCTTGTTAACTACAAAATACCTACGATTATTTTTCGGTTGCTAGCGAGAACCATAATAGGTGTCAAATAGCAAGCTTTTTAGTTGATCTTTATGGTAAGACGTCCCGAAGCATCAATCAGGTCCATCGCTAAGTCCGGCTGGGTTAGATAATGTAATCTCAAGCCACGTACGCAACCATGTCCTTTTAATAACACAGGGGGGTTTCTGTACGTATTTGGTCAAGTTCCGGCTTTCTGCTATGCGGAGGCTGAGGTTTTAAGCATCCATATCCATGAAACATGCAGAGCTTTACGCTATCGTTACTACTACTTAGAAGGGGGACGCATGCGCAATGACAGCCAGCAGCCGGTCGCTGAAAAGCCCTGTGCGAACGGATGTAATAAAGGCGAAGAATTATCTCCATCTCCTGGCATTCATGCTGAGATTGTAAGTACTGTCAATTAATCTTGTATCTTCAGACGCGTATAATTATTTTTTTGGGGGAAGGGTGGACAAATATTTCTAACTGTCTGGGTGGCATTTAATAATTGATACACTATACAACCTCCGAAATGTTGCCTTTTCTGGATTATTGCTGGGCGAAGATGCCGTATTGTACCTTCTTTTTCCATGGTGGCACTATCTAACGATTTCAGCCAGGTTATCCTGCTTTTTGTACGGAAGCACTGGAATTGTAATAAATATATATTGTTTTCCACACCCACGCACGTGTAGGTTATATATTGTGATTTTTTTATCCTCTGGCCGGATGATGTAGCCGGTGTTATTTTTCTGGCTTGCGAATTTCCCCATACCGCATGTTTCTGTATGCCCTCCCAGCTGAGTGCATGGATTGATAAATAGCCGTGATCAGTTTCGCTTGTCAGACTCCCGTACCTTCGGTCCGCCGGTTTCCCATGAGGAGATCTCGGAGCGAAGGGGCGAGGGTCCGATTCTGTGTGCCGTCAGGACAGCCGGCTTCATCAGCGACGCCCCCGCTCCGCTCCGCTTCCCCCCATCGCTAAATATTGTGACATGACTGCCTAACGCAGATTCCTTTGACAGGCGTCGCGGCTTTGCTGGAGATTAAGGACCCCTCCATTCCGCTTAATCAAAATAATCACCCGGGATCACAACGTCCACTGTCCGTTTTCCATCATGCAAATGGATTTCGGTACATATGCTGAAACAACGGACCTCTCACTTGCCCTACGAGCGTATTAGGAAGGGAATTAACGGTTCAGGTTATATTACATTTAACAATATAGCCCGCCGAAATTAAACACACGGGATGTTAATATTAATTAATGAATTAAAAATGTACAGTAGCCTGTTATGTTTAATAAGGTATAGATTAACCCGTTTTTATTCAAATGAGCAATTCAATGTATACTTAAGATGAGAACCACACATCTAGTAATGATCCTGAAGATCCGTAGTATAGCCCAGGAAACATGAGGTGTCAAGTTTAACCGAGCATGGGGGGTCTCACACGCAAATGGGGGGGGGGGGGTTCAGTGTAAACTAGTGTGACCCCCTACTCTGTGTCAGGAGGGACACTTTCAGCGACAACGGGGTTTATAAACTACCATTTCAACCATTTCAATTATAAGGACCCGGATTTCACTTTGTCACTGAGTTCTTGCTGTGTGCTGATTGGTCAGTCTCCTATAATCATGCATGTGTCACTAATGTTAATGTGAAACAGCTGAATGAGTCTTTCAGTCAAGGAAACAAACCAGCCAAAGCACAAGAAGGACTGAACTATTAGGCTGAGCACAGGAATCTTTCAGTTTTAAAGCAGTTTGTAAAACCTGGAGTAGCTTATACAGTAGTGTCCCCCCCACCCCTCCCCCCATCATGGATTAGATCAGGGGTGTCAAACATACGGCCCGCGGGCCGAATACGGCCCACTATGGTGTCCAATACGGCCCGCGGGATGATTTGAACAATAGTATTAAATATCAAATCTTTTTTATTATCATCATTATTATTAGTAGTAGTAGTATTAAAAAGGAATAAGAGTGTTAATGAACAGTTTCTGAGGACTTGTTAAATGCAGTTTTACAGAATATAGTGCATTTGTTGTAATTTGATGCACTATGATTAAAAAAAAATAATAATAAATTCGGCCCGCACATGGTCACATTTTCTTCTCATCCGGCCCTCACCCTAAAATGAGTTTGACACCCCTGGATTAGATGGTCACCCTAGTGAACTAAATTCGCAGATGTGTCCTGATGGAGAACCCCCCCTTCCCCACACATACAATGTGACATGTGCCCCATAAAGTCCTTCCTCTCCGAACTCTTCTGCTCAAGTTCATTTGGTGACACACCTCAGCCGACTCCTTGTGCGATCCGGTGTCACTTGATGACCGAAGGAAGGACGCTGTCATGAACAGTCAGGAGTGGTTCCACTGGGCTGCCTCAGTACTGCCTTGTCTCTCCTTGCAGTCTGGGCCCACTACCCAGAAAACCAGCCAGGGCCACACTGGACGAGTGTCCTGAAGTGGGCTAGACGAGGTGGGGCAGCCTGACCGCTCCAGGGCAACCACTCCAGGGCAACTCGAAAGCCCAGTGAACTGAGAGATTCTGAACACAGACAGACAGACATGCTAACATACATATATCAAAGACTTTAGACAGTGCTAACAGCAGACCACACACAACACAGATGGTAGAACAGATGCAGAAGGCTGGCTAAGGAGGGGCGTAGCCTGAAATGCAGGTGCCCTTTACATGTATTCATCACCTTATTAATTATTGAATGATTTCCTTGGACAAACTCTATGCTATTTATTATGCCATTTATGTTCAGCACTTAATTTATGTAATTTAATGTACATCTATCCATTTTCCAGCTGCTTACACTGCTTAGGGTAGTAAGTTAGTTTACCAGGTATGTAGAATTGTATTTAAAGCAAGAAATGGACATATATTCAGTATATTTATTGGTTCTGGGGCAGATTTGTGGGGAATGATTGTATTTTTATGAAGGCAGGCCCTTGGGAGATGCATACTTTTTGAGGTTTACAGGGAAATGGACATTGCACGGGGGGGGGACGACAGAGGGGCACTGCACCAGAAATTCAGACATGCCAGTCGGCGGTGTCGGTGTCAGCTTCAGCTTCAGATCTCAGCTTTTACACTGATCTGAGGTGACTGATATTTCTGTCCACTGTTTTAGGCTAATCTGCTTCAAGTACAGATACATCCTGTTTTAGAAAATCTGCATGACTACCTGGATGTGTGAAGTATTAGATCTTAGATAAAAGAATGAAATGATTTTGTGAGACTGGTGACACTAAAGCGGGGGCCTCGTACAGGAAGCACACGGCAGAGGAGCACCCAGGTACACTGGGTGATTTCACTGCTGCTCATAGTTTTGCCCTCTGAATAGCAAGATGGGTGTTTTTGAGTGAATCCGTGCTGGTTTCTCTAACTTTAAAAGGATCGTTCCAATTGTGGAGATTTGGAAATCGTAAGAGTTGTTGTTGTTAAATGTTGTTGAGTCGTTGGTGACTTGTGTCGACTCCATGCTCAGAGTACTGATTAGGAAATAGTTTAATACTGATTAAGGGTTCAGTGTTAAAAACGTTGCTACAGCACAGATTTCAGAATGCGTGGAAAAATACTGAGAGCTGGGCTGTGCAGAGACTTTTCAGGGGCCAGAAGCTCAAAGCCTTTACTGCATATATGTCAAGGGATGGGTGGGGGTTGACTGGGGGGGTCAGGGACTCAGTATCTTTAAAGGGAGGCAATTTATATAGAGGCAGGTGCTCAGGAACCCTTTGGCCCCCTCTGCACATACCTGAGTGAGAGTATTTCTCCTGTATGTAACTGATTGGTGCGCTGGACCTGCAGCCAATGGGATCGGAGCGGATGGAGATGCGCAAGCGGCAGCGGATGGTGCAGCACGGCGCGGCCGATGACGGCTGGACTCAGCGCGGCTTGGGGAGCCCCGCCTCCAACGCCTGCTGCTTCTGCTGGTGCTGCTGCTGCAGCTGCTCGTGGTGAGTGTTTGCCTGCAGTATAGTTAGTTACTTTATGTAGTATAGTGAGCCTAATGGGTGAATGTTTATTTCAACTGCAGTATAGTTACTCCAGATGGTGAGTATGTCCCCTATTTCTGTGGTATAGTGAATCTTCATGGGTGAGTGTTTAGCTGTAGTATGGTTGATTTAGATGATGAGTATGTCCCCAATTACTCTTGATGGTGAATTTAGGTCCTATTTCTGTAGTATAATGAATCTCATGGGTGAGTGTGTATTCAAGCTGTAGTATAGTTACTTTTTATGAAGAGTATATCCTCTTTCTGTATTATAGTGAATCTCATGGGTGAGGCTTGCAATATAGATGCTAACACTGATATGTATTTGTCAGGGCCAGTATGGAGTTTATTAGCCCTGTAGTATAGTTACTCACTAAGCCTGAAGCATAGAATCTGTTTCTAGTTTGTGTTTACTCATTAGTCAAACTCTACAATTTAAGTCAGGGGTAAATATTTTAATGTTACTAATATTTAGTCTGCACCTTCCCTAGGGATCATTGCTGGTCCCAGTATGTCACAAGGTGAGGCCTTACTGGGATGCCCAGGGTGCTTTTCTCACATGGGAGAGAGGTGTGCTGATGATGTATTTGTCTCCTTGCAGTCTTACAGCTAAGAATGAAGAGGGGGATGGCAGAAGCTGTGGGACCGTGCACGACGCCAAGATCGAGGGCAGCGCCGACTGCGAGGACAGGTTAGCGGGGTCATGTTAGCAGTTAACCAGCATGGTGGCGTTCCCCGCTCTGGATCGTGACTGAGACGTCGCGTTAGCGGTTAGCCAGGATTGTGGCGTTCCACGCTCTGGATCGTGACTGAGACGTCGCGTTAGCGGTTAGCCAGCATGGTGGCGTTCCCCGCTCTGGATCGTGACTGAGACGTCGCGTTAGCGGTTAGCCAGCATGGTGGCGTTCCCCGCTCTGGATCGTGACTGAGACTAGGGGGCCTCCTGGGAAGGGAGCTCGAATCCCAGAATGCCAGCTGTTCAGTGCTCTCTTGCATTTTCATTACTCACTGCCTAACATATTTAACTGAACTCATGATCAGAGTGGTTTCCAGATGTAATTAAACTTGTGATAACATGGCTGCAGTCTTGCATTTCGGGAAGGGACCAGCCGCGAATATTAACTGACTATAAAGCTAAAAGTGATGTAATTCATTCATAATTTGTTTGCAAATGACGGTGTAACCTCCCCCCCAAACCCCATTGACCCTGCATAGGACAAGCAGGTATAAAAGATGGATGGATGGATGGATGGATAGATGGATGGGTGGGTGGATGGATGATGGTGCTTCTGTCTGTCTTTTTGGAAAGTTTCAACTCTGTGTTACTGACTTTAGTCTTAACATCTTTTCTAAATCTGATGACATCATGTCCCGTACCGTTCCCCCCCTGAAGCCCAAAGCCCTCTCTGGAGGAGGTTCAGACCTGGGGCCAGTCCTTCGACAGGCTAATGAAGTGTCCCATCGGGAGGAAGGCTTTCCGGGAGTTTCTGCGGACGGAGTTCAGCGAGGAGAACATGCTCTTCTGGCTGGCCTGCGAGGACTTGAAGCATGAGACCGGCACGGTGGCCATCGAGGAGAAGGCCAGGCTCATCTATGAAGATTACATCTCTATCCTCTCGCCCAAAGAGGTAAAACGGGCTGCGTTCTTCCATCATCTCTCTCTCAGTCTGACATTAAGATACTTAAGGTCAAAAGAACAACTCTGAGTCTTATATAGTGCTTTTATAAAGCATCGATTATGTGCATAATTAGACTAATATCCATATCCTTGAACATCCATCCATGTTCCAACCACTTATCCAGAAGAGAATCACGCTGAGACACAAATTCACATGCTTCAAGTCCTTGAGGTGTGCGGCTGCGGTGCTGTCCAATAAGCCATCGTATCGCGGCATGTATTTCGATGCGATTGGTCGTATTTCATTCGCATCCCATCCCAATTTCTCTGTCAGCGCTTTTCTCTGATTCCCTGCCTCCGTCCTGCTGACATTCAGGCTTGTATCCCTAGGTGAGTCTTGACTCCCGGGTTCGAGAGGCGATCAACAGAAACATGCTGGAGCCCACCTCGCAAACCTTCGACGATGCCCAGCTGCAGATTTACACGCTGATGCAGAGAGACTCGTACCCTCGCTACATGAACTCCTCCGTCTACAAGAACCTGCTTCAGACCCTATCAGAGCAGTGCCCAGAGTCGTAGTTCCAACATTTTCCCAAACTCCACTTTGTTTGCGTCTCGAACCCAGTCCCTGTTCACTCAAACCGCCATACTGCTGTCCCAACTTCAAAAAAGGGAAATACCAGTAGAAATTTCCCCATTTTTGTTATTTAAAAGACTCCGGGAGCACGGTAGCATTACATTTATTTAGCAGGACCTTCGTCCAAAGTGACATACAAGTGCGGATCAGAGAGCACAGTCAGACAGTGTACCTGGAGCATTTGGGGGTAAGGGCCTTTCTCAAGGGCTAGTTGTTATGGTTACGCTACCAGCTATGGGATTTGAACCCATACCTTTTCAGAAATGGGCATAAATGCGTAACCCAATAAGCTGCAAACAACTCCAGAGAAACAGGTACAGATAGAGTTCACTAAAATGTATGACAGCAGCTCTGTTGGGCCGACCCAAGTGGAGCACGGTGTGGTGTTTTGATTGAGTCGCATCTTTAAGTGATGCCCCATAGACCTGGTTGCTCTGCTGGGGGGTTTAGACCTGCAGACCTGCAGCCGCTATTCCTCCACCTTGGACCTCAGCCTCTCCAAACCTGAGGAAAGGGCCGCTTCCGATCCATGTCATAGGACACTCCAAAGGAAATTCACCATGTTTGATTTTTTTATTTGATTCTTCTTACCATTTTTGTATTGCTTTGTAGAGGAGAAAAGCTACCAGAGAACTATACTTCTAAAATCTGGCAAACAAATGGGATTTACCGTTCAGGAAATAATGTAATCTAGTGTGGAAGGCAGGACGGTGAAGAATTCCTGTCTGTAGAGATGGAGAGTGACAGTGAGACTGGTTCAGGTGTTCATGCTCTACCAATGAGGCAGCCAAACTTGGTCTTCTATTTGCTTGCTCATTCGTTTGTCTATTTCTTTGTTTGTTTGTTTACCTGTCTGTCTGTCTGTTTGTTTGTTTGTTTGGTTGGTTGATTCTTTTAGATTTTTTTGATGTTTTCACTTCATCGTTCAACACCCATTGCAAACATTCTTGGCAGCTCCAAATTTCCAAAACCTCCTTGAGTGCATAAATCCCATGACCCTCTGCTGGCTGGATGAATAAATTAAGACAATTAAGTCACTTATGTTTATCAAGCACCCAGTGAGTAAGAATAATTATTTAATTGGGTAAAATAAAAACGGCAGTTCGAGCTGTGTTTTACATATCTGTAAATTCATGTGTCTTTATGACATTTCTGATGTTACTACTAATTATAAATGGACACAAACGTTGACCCATTGGGGGCCAACCTTCATTGCAGAATCCTGCTTACAGCTATTAATTCTGACGTCAAACAGTCTCTATGTTTCAAAGTTACCACAGACTTCAGCCGGGGATCACTGTCATCACAAGAACCGTAGTCCTAACATACCACAAAATACAGTTCTACGGAACCCTAACATACCACGAAATACAGTTCTACGGAACCCTAACATACCACGAAATACAGTGCTATGGAACCCTAACATACCACGAAATACAGTTCTATGGAACCCTAACATACCACGAAATACTGCTATGGAACCCTAACATACCACGAAATACAGTTCTACGGAACCCTAACATACCACGAAATACAGTTCTACGGATGACCCCTATCTCCACCTCTCTCCCTCCTTCGTATTCGTGTGGCATTTTTGGTCTTGTGGCCAGCTATTTAAAAAAACACCAAAGTCTGAACTTCATTTCAGCCCATAGCTCATATTCTCTCAGCTATTTGTATTTGTCCTCGGTTTTAAAAGAAAAAAAAATAAGAATAACTTGGAGCTGCCAGGTTTTTCTGTCTGTGTCCATGTCACACGACGACGGAGACATTCTTAGGGAAGTGCCTAGTCGTTCGGTTTGTGGCACCCAGCGCGTGGACAATGCTCGTTTGAGCCTCTGAGCCACATAAACATAGTATGTCTACCAGCTGTGGCTCCAGGTGACGCCTGTACCGGCATTAGGCATTAGGGTAAACTTACCACACGTGCGGTTTTACCGTATTGGAAGATGAGCAGATCAACCTCAGATTCTTATTGGTCCAGAGGCATGCTGCCTATTAATGATCTTCTTTATTATATAAAATGTGTTATTTTGAAAAGTCAGAGTTTACTATCAGGAATGTTTACAGTGTTTTAGAGTGTTCCTTGTCTGTTTATCTAAAGGATTAATAACTGGGGCATTTTGGTTATTTAATAAACAATAAAGCACAGTAGTTTTACCCATTTCTCCCGACCTGTGTTTTGGCCTGAGGATAGCAGACTATGGCTATGCATTACTTGCAGGGACGCTTTAACGCACAGGTTTGCCCACGCTGAAACCCAGGGGGCACTGCTCAAAAGGAGCCTCGGGTAATTAATAAAAGTTTATTAATTCAAGAGTTACACTATTGTAGAAAATAGTCTACCTCTCAAATGACCATGTTAATGCACCTCTGGGTGCACGCAAGCATATTAACGTGGTGTATTTGAAGGGGTATCTTTCGGGGTGCAATCATCAAAAAGGTGAGCGTTACAGGATGATGAGCACTTTGAGCTAGGATCTATTAACAGCAGACCAGTGAGGGTCACTGGATCATGAGCACTTTGAGCTGGGGCCTATGAACAGCAGCCCAGTGAGGGTCACTGGATCATGAACACTTTGAGCTGGGATCTATGAACAGCAGACCAGTGAGGCTCACTGGATCATGAGCATTTGAGCTGGGATNGCTGGGATCTATGAACAGCAGACCAGTGAGGCTCACTGGATCATGAGCATTTGAGCTGGGATCTATGAACAGCAGACCAGTGAGGGTCACTGGATTATGAGCAATTTGATCTGGGGCCTGTGAACAGCAGACCAGTGAGGGTCACTGGATCATGGGCACTTTCAGCTGGGGCCTATGAACAGCAGACCAGTGAGGGTCACTGGATCATGAGCACTTTGAGCTGGGATCTATGAACAGCAGACCAGTGAGGCTCACTGTACAGTAATGGACAGTGATTATCAGCTGTTTTTTTAAAGCACAAGAGACATGCGGAACAAAACTGAAGGAGAAATAAAACAGAGAACTGAATCCAGCTGAAGAGCATTTCCTGTTAGCCATTCTTACAGTGTCTGTGTCCTTGTGCTAAATATCATAAGAAGATACGAGATTTACAAATGAGAGGAGGCTGATCGGCCCGTTGATCTCGTTTGGGGAAATGCCCTATTTAGTGCACACCTAAAAGAAAAGGAACTCAGAAAAATGCTGAATAGTGGCCGAAATTGTGGGAACAGCAAGCATTTTTGGCATCATACTTTAAAAATCACTACAGTAATACTGGCAGTAATGTTTATAAACAATCAAACAATGCTTACAATCATACATTAGGTGGTTACATAAGTAAATGGAGAAACTGGAATAAAATTCTGCAATCTCTAAAATTTGGAAGTGTTTCCACGATGGCAGCCCTAATAAGGGTGAGGACTCTCCAGCGTAGGAGAATCTCTACCTGGGTGCAGGTGAACAGACTAGTCAGTGGGCTGGAGCAAATCTTCCTTTCGTTTTATTGATCTACAAGCTATTTCAAGACAGAAGGCTTTGACCTCCAACACCACAGTCGACATGTTAATCCAAGTCTGGCCTGCTTAGATGAAGATCATACAGCTTAAATATTTCTTCAGTGGGGTTTTACACTCTGTACTGCAGGGGCACTTTGAACGTGTGGGTCAATTGGCTTGATACGCAATATGCCCTGTGACCACTAAGGGGCGCCCCTTAACGTGATCCCTGTCCACTGGGTGCCCCACTTGACCCTTTCAGAATCTGTTGTGATGACATAGTTGTGGTTGCAATACAGCGGTAGTCTGTTGTCTTCATCTTAGAGCTGCAATATAAAATCAAATGTCATAAGATCTCCCCCCGGTGGCCAAACAGCTGCAGTTGCGGCTTTCGTGTCTGTCAAGAGAGCAGAGATCAATTACAATCTTTCTGGCACAGACTAAATTTATCCTACCTGAGTTCTTTATTAGCCTTGAATGGACCGCCGTTTGACCGAAATATTTTATACTAATTATATTATACCTAATAGCTTGAGCAGTTGGGGTAATATATTAATTGAATACAATATTTTAATTATGTGCTCTTCACACAAACGTGTAAACTCCTAACTTCAAGTGCAAGTGCCCTTATTGCGTTTGCAGAATAAAATCGCCCTGGTTTATTCACCCATCCAAAGACTAACTGAAACTCTTCCAAATATCAGTAAATGGTTATGAAAAAAAACAGTATAGGCCAAAACCAATGCAAGACAACTTAGGACGTGGGATTGAAGAACTCTTTATATTCTCATTACATGATATTTATATATTCAGTAGTTAATGTTTTTTCCCCAAATAGTCAGGCAGCAATCCGCAGTTAATGGCCTTGGTCAAGGTCCACAAGTAATTACTTGCTAGAGCGCCGGATTGGGGTTTAAACCCATGAGCATAGCTGCCCAAATGGATCTTAAGTACAACACCGTAACTAATCGACCATCCTTCCGCCACTATTCAGTGCCTTCAAAATAACTGAAACAAAATATCTTAATAGGAAATGCCAGTTAACCATTGAACAGCACTAGCATTTAAATAAGGGCGTTTTTCGATGCAGTATGTATCCAACAGATGGCAGTGTTTCCTTAGGATAACGAAAGAAGTTGGCGGAATATAATTTAAAAATGTACTCTGTGTTCTGTATTACCAGCTTTGATGAGCCATACGTTTTTAACAGAAAAGAGACAGAGCTGACCCGCAATTAACTCGTGAGCAAGAAGAAAACGATTTCAATATTTTTTTTTCTTTCGTTGGCAAAATAATTCTTTCCCAGGTGAGCTATACTGTGCTGGAGAGTGACGATGCAACATTTATCTAGGCTACAGGTGTCAGACTCTAGTCCTGGGGGGCTGGAGCCCTGCACATTTTTGGGTTTCCCCTCATTTAACACACCTGATTCAACTCCTTGTGCTAATTACCACACAGCTCTTGAGCTGAATCATTTATGGTGGAACAGGGAAAGAACTAAGCTACACTGGGCTGCGGCCCCCCAGGACTGCAGTTTGACACCCCTGATCTAGGCATATGATTATGTCCTTAATATGCCAATAAACAGATCTAAGTTTCCTGCTAACTGTCCATCTGTGTATAAAGACCCTCGCTGGTCTACGCTAGGCCTGCATCCCTTAAGAAAATTCACTATGGTTTCCTATGGTTTTTATGCAGTAACCATAGTTTTACTATGGTACCTCATGGTACTTGTGTACTACCCATAGTACTACCATGGTTTATCCATGATAAAACAAAAACCATGGTTTATGACCAAGATTATACTAGGGTTTAACTGTAGCGAAACCATGAGAAAACCATAGTCATGGTTTCCATAGTTACCCAAAAAACCATGAAAAACGGCAAACCATTGTAAACCATGGTTATTTAATCATAGTAAAACCATGGTTAATTTTTGTAAGGGATGAGTACTTTTATGGTGTTTGTAGTGAAAGTGGTTTTAAACTAAATAATATTTTAAAAGGCAGTAAGACTGACCTGCTGCCCTCCGCAGCCTACAAGCCAATGGACTCCTATCGTTATGTTGAGATATGACTCTCTGGAGGCACAATATTAAGTGTATTTAAGGTGTATTCAGTACAATTCACTTTCAAATGTAAGCGTGGTATATCAAACCCCGAAAAATAACCGCGACAGTGCTTTAAAATGAGAATAATACAACTATGTAGGCAGGGCTGGACTGGCCATCTGGCATACCGGGCAATGCCCGGTGGGCCGACGCACATTTTTGTTCTGACGAGTTGAGCTACCTATCGAGACGTGCTATCGGGCCTTTCTGCGCATGTGCAGTTCCACCGTTTGGGGATTAGGGTTAGGTTTTAGGGGTTAGGGTTAGGGTTAGAGTAAGGGTTTTAGGGGGGGTAGGGTTAGGGTTAGGGTTAGGGCTATCAATTAGCACTAACTCGACAAAGTAGCTCAACTCGACAGAACACCGGCCCAGGGCTGTTTTACCCAATTTACCCAAAAAAATATATTATAAATATTTTTTATCGACCGCAACGTCCCATTGGTTGATTTTCTTGAAGGACATTGGGCTAATCCAGTGAAATCTCTCAGCCCTCCTTGACCCGCCCCTCCATCCCCTTTTTTACCAAGGTTATCAAATTTTGCCATTTGAGGTGACCGGAGCTGGAGAGGAGTGGCTATGGACAAATCAAGGGGGCGCAGAAAAGCTCAGAGAAAAGAGCAATAAAGTCTTCAAGTGGATGCAGCAAAATGCACAAAACTTACCGATATGTTTGCCATCACAAGCTTTACTGCTGCAGCAGCTGGTGCAGGGCCGGAGGAGGAGGCAGAATTAGCGATTCAGGGAGATACATCGGAGGAGGAGGAGGAGGAGGAGGAGGAGAGAGACGTGGCCCTGGGAAAGATTGAGGAAGAGATTCAATTAGCTTCTGTCCAGCCCGGTAAAAAGTAGACGAAATGTTAATGAAGAGGGACATTTCATGTAGGGAGAGCAAAAGGCTGGAGTGTGTGTGTGTGTGTGTGTGAGAGAGAGAGAGAGAGTGCAAGTGAGGGGGGGGGGGGGTTAACATGCCAATAAACAGATCTGATGTTTTGGATTGTGTGTAATAATAATGGATTAAAACAGAAAACGTAAAAGAAGAAAAACGTTACAAATACTGTGACGATAGGCGGACCGAGGAACCACGGGAGCAGAGACAGACGAACACGCGCTTTATTGCTAGTCTTGAAGAAAGACTACTTCAGGCACCCAGTGAGCACCGAAACGATTACGCATGAGAAACACAGGGTTGTCAGACGCTGAACTCTAAAATACACACATAGTGGGAGATTTACAGAAGCTAATTACACACGAGGATCGGACAGGGTACACGCAATTAGGGGCGTTGCTAGAGATTTTGGGCCCCATGAAAGCATATCATATTAGGCCCCCCAGTCCAAACCAATCCAGTTATTTTCCTAATTTTTTAGGGCCCCTGTCACTCAGGGGCCCTTTGAATCGTCCTAGCTTTCCTCCCCCTTACGGCGCCCCTGCACGCAAGACATGGGCAAACACACGCGCGACAATAAGGAATATAACCATTAATAACAACAACAATAGAAGGGCTATTTACAACACGCACGCGGGGCAATTGCTGGTGCTACAATACAATTTTAAAACGATAAAAAAATGATTGGAGACACATCTTCACTAAATAGTATCTGGGTCAAAAGTGTGCAAATGCTCAACATAGGAAACTATTACAAGACTTATTTTATTCAGTCAGACTTAAAACATGCATAATAATATTAGCCTATAGAGTTATGTGTCATTTGTGTACAAGGCAATTAAGAATAGCCTTAATTGTCTTTAAATAATGCTATGAGTAGATTTGGTGTCCAGCTTAGTGGTATTTCAGCTGCCATAAAGTTACA